TACTAGGTAGTTCGGTGAATTTTTTTATTTTAAAATTTCTAAAACTTAAATAAATGGCTGGTAAATAAATTTAGTTATTTCTGAAAATATTTAAATTTTAGTTTAATAAACAATTTAGTTCTTGAAACAAAAAATTGATTTAAAAAAGTTACACAAGTTTGAAAAACATTTTTTTTTTTTTTTAATATAGATTTTTAAAGCCAGTCAAAGATTGCCAAAAACCGATTGAAGCAGGATTTCTTTTATTTAAATATAATCTTTGGTCCTTTAAATGTTTATAAAATCTTTGAATGGTATAAAACAACATTAATAAGTATAAAATATAATAGTTTTAAAATGTGATCCTATTCTCGTCGCCTGCAAAAAATGGTTGGCCCTCTTTCATATAAATCAAAATCAGGTTTTGAATTTTCAAAAAAACGCAGACCGAGAATCTTTTTCGCGCTTTATTGCGCATTCGTTTTTGGTTTAAAAACTTATCACCTTATTTTGAATTATATTCACTAAACCTATTACAAAGCTATTGAAAGTGGATAAAGGTGAGCAATCGTTAGGTAAGAATAAATCATTGGTAACTATATCTTACCAAATCTTCTATTATAAAAATATAAAATAAACATAAGAAAACAAATATATGTTTAATTAAAAAGTATAATGATAAAGTTTTATAAAAGTATTCATGTTTTGAATTTGAATAAACATTAATAAAGTTTCAGTTTTAATATTTCTGAAAAATCTTTAAGTGTTGTAAATGCAAAAGTAAATAAGAATGTTAATTGAATTGCGCCAAGCAGTTGATGTCTTAGAGAAGCATAATAAACTGTAGTGACACATCTATAATAACACAAAAGAACATGTAAAAATTAAAACATATAGTAGTTAATCATGAGTAAATATCTATCAATTTCAGTTTCCATGTTTTTTCCATATGTTTTTGTAAATTTAGTAATATATTCAGTTTATTCAGAATATATTATTCTGAATAATCTGAACAGTAAACAGAAACAATTGTTTATTAAGGGTGCAGCTATATTTTTGCTAATAACATGGTGACAGTACGTAAATGACTTTGCATATAAGGATAAAAAAAACTGTTATTTCTGAACCATTGGTAATTTCAAAACAACAAAATATACATTTTATACTATTATTTATGTTTTATACATTAATTATATATGTCAATATCAAATAAATATACATTTTGTTCAAATATGCATCTTAATGTTGCTCCAATTGTGTGGTTTTTTTATGTTTGAATATAGTGATACATGGTCTCAAGTTGTAAAACTTATGATTCTTAATAAAATAAAAAGTTTAAAAATGGTAGATAAGTTAATTTATTAGTGTCACATGGGAAGTACAATAATCAAGTTTTTTTGAATGTTTTTTTTCAAAAGTTATAAAGATTGCACTGACAATGACTCTGTGTGTGAACTGGGGTATGAGGAAATTGAATTGTATAGATTAAATTTCATTTTCACTATTTTTACCAGTTCTTTATATATGTATTGGTGCGTATTTGTAAAACAGACACAACCTCAACTAATTGATTCCAAAACACAAAAACTATCTTCTATTAAAATAAAAGCATGCAAAATTGTTGCAATAAATCTTGCTCTCCTAAAAATGGATTACCTTGTCTCGAAAAAATGTGTACATGTTATTAAATGTTAAGGCCATGAAGTATACCATTATAACAGCCACACTGGAAAAAGCAATGTCTCTTTAAGGATATCAGGTTTGAAATTATCATATGCAAAGAAGTTATTTTATTGGTGCTTCCAATAAAAATAATAATGAAAATATTGATAATAATGACAACAGTAACAATAGCAATAATTTAAGCAGTAGTAATAATTATTACTATGTAGTAAAAAGAGTAATAATTATGACAGTAGTAAAAAGTTGTAATCATACAGAAAATGAACACCCAGTTTTATTTGATATTTTTATATTTTAAAGTTTTTTTTCTATTAATTTTTTTTATTTTTTGTTATGTATACAAATATACGCAGGGTTGGGGTGTAATGAAGTACATTTATCTTATAAAAATAGTTTGTTACTTTTGGCAGTACTTCTACATGTAACATGTTAGATTTACAAAACTTTTACTTTCGTTACTTTCCATTCATTAGTTCAATGCATAATGATTCACAATCTTTTTCATTCACACAGAGATCGTTATGTAAGTTCTAACTAATTTAGTTGTTGATGAAGATAGTTATGCCCCCACCAACACCAAAACTATGTGGTTGGTGTACTCATTTGTAATTAGTTCAAATTGTGGATTTGTTTCACCATACTTACACCAAGTTTCCATAAGATAAATAATTTTAAAGGCATGTCTAAATTAATCCAACAAAAACTTTAAATTTTCAAAATATTTTTAAAAACTTTGAATATTAATGTTTAAAATTAAAAAAAGTACTTAAACTTCATTGATTCTTATAAATAATGCACGTAACTTTACAAATCCAAAATTGATACTGCTTCGAGTTGTATTACAGCCGTGCATCATAAAGCAAGGTTGCGCATTGAACTCACAAGATACACAACCTCAGCACACAATGCAACTAGCAAAACTGTCTATTTGGAAAACTATTTAATAAGGTTAATGACAAAATGCACTTATGCTATTTCTGTTGTCATTTGGCAGTCAAAATGGTGACCTTCAACAGTGCTCTTGAAAATAATAAATCTAAATATCCTTGGCTTTATACAGAGGCTATTATAGGAAAATAAAATTGAAAGAAAAAATTGGGTGGTGGTACCCCCATTCTGCGACCTGGTGTAAGGAAATTTTCAGGAAACATTACCATATAGAAGCATTTATTCGCAAAATAAAAAAATATTTGCCAAAATATTTTTTTATTTTGGAAAAACAAAAGGTTGATGATCAGGGGTTGATGACAAGTGGTCTAGACTGTGGTGTATAAGTTTTAAGTTCAACAGTTGTACAGTTTTTTGAAGTTACTTGGCAGATTGTTGTATCTCAATATAAAACAGTCATTTAAACATATAATTGTTCAATTTTTTTTTTCTTTTATACCAATTAAAAGTTACATATTTATATTTTCATTAAAAAAATTTTTAGAAAAAAAGCTACAAGAACTTGGTTAATAGTTTATATTTAATTAGATTTTTTATTATATAATAGATAATAAAATAAAATTCTGTTAATAGTAAAATAATAAACTTTTATAAGTTCAATTATCAATAGAAGATGACATCAAATTTTTCTTTTTAGATAAAAAAAGAAATGGATTTGATAACACTTAATTTATAAAGCATTTATAGTTTTTTTTAGTATAAAACAGTTATTAATTTTTATATTGTTTTAATATTTACTAATTTGTAAATGTATTTATTTTACTTGAAAGAGAGAAAAATGGTAATTTTAATAGTTTATGGTGTTATTCTAGGGATGGTTTTTTCATTGGTAATGCAAGGCAATATTTTTTTCCTTTTTTTTAATTAGCTCTGCTTCCAAAAGAAAATGCATAATTAAATCCCTGGAAAAAAAAGCATTATTAGATCTGGGTAAACTTATTTTAAATTTTTCTTGTTTTTTTTTTGTTTGTTTACAATTTTAAAGTATTTTTATGTATGGTCTATTTGGCACAGATTTCACAAAAAAATTTGCTGTGTGCAGAATACAAAATTGCTACATTTATCACATTTATCAAGTGGTCTAACACAGAGCTTGCATCTACCTCGTTTCACACCAAAATTACTATCATCTTATGCTTTATTTTCATCATTACTTTTTTAATAATAGGTTTCATCAACTTTTATAGATCCCTAGATTTTTTTCTGGGCCCGCCCCAGGACCATGGCCAGTATAAATTTTAACATTCAAGACATAGCTATTACTAGAATTACACAATAACCATAGTTTTAACCCATATTTAGGGTTTGGATTTTATATATTGTCTTAAGGAACAATGTCCACGAAGTGGAACCAGCTGTTCCTTAACAGTAACATTTTCATATGGTCTAAAACTATTTGAAAGTATTTGTAGCCAAAAATGGGTACAAACGCTTTCAAGTAATGTCAAAAACCTCACGACTAGTTGCAAATTTGTCATTGATGTGTCTTAAAAATCGAGTAGCTTTGTCATTAAATCTCGAAACTCTTGAAATGTTATGAAAATGCTCACGACTTATTACAGGACAAAAAATATGCCAGCTATCACTTATGTCTCATAGCTCCTCTGTAGCTACACCTGCTGATCAGATATTGGTGCCCATTTTTCTTTACAAATAGTTTTACCTTTGTTTGATTTAGTTTAAACTTTGTTGAAGATTTTTGGAGTAAAAAACAATTGAAAAGCATTATTTATAGAATCTGTCATGCATATTGCATATGGTGTTAATATTGACTTTAATTTCATGACATTTTGTGCTACAAATTTTCTGGAATTGTAGCACAAACAAGTTTGGGCAACTATAAACCATTTGTTATTTTGCAAGCTTCCACTTCAATCTCTACTACTTCATTAGTTTTACCTGAACTTATTCCCTCAGCTATATCTTTATGTTTATTTCGTCTTTCTAATACCTGGTTTGCATAACTTGTTCTCCCTTGACTAATTGTGCCATAAATGCTACTAGTGCCTCTAACTCCACCGCGATTTCTACATTTTCTAGCTCCTAATAATGGTGTTGATTTATTCTCCACTATTGAAGCTGCAGGAGTATCTACTCGAAAATCAGCATCATCTGATGACTCAGTATCTTTTGACTTCTTTTTCCTCTTCATCATCATCAGATGTGAACTCTTCTTCACTTGATAGATCTCTCTTAAGTGATGCAAAAAATAGTTCCTGAGCTTATTCAGAAGTGTATCTAATATTTTAAATTTTATTTTATTTTCAGCCATAAGTTTTAATATTTGTTATGAAATTTAAATTTATCAAAGGAAAAGAATAAGTAAGTTACAAATAGATAAATAAAAACATTTTTTAAAAGCATAAGTTATGAAAAACCTTTTTAAAAAACTTTTTTAAGACAAACTATGTTAGGGTCCATGTGAACCCTAACATCATTGATGTATATTGCCATACATCTTGATACACAAATAACAAAGAATTTTTGAGAGCAGGATAACTGTTATCAGATTTTTCCACTTTAGGTCGAAAATATATACATGCTTCTGGAAAGTATACTTTCCATTCATCTATCTTACCTAACAAGCATTCTTGATCTATCAAAGATCTTTGAAAGTTTTTTCTAGCCTTCTCTATATGATTTGCAATTGTTTCATCCCGTGGATAAAAACGTTTGTTTGTTTTTAGAATGTTATTTGAAACAAATTTCATCTGAACAAAGGCATCCAGATGACGCCTCATATCTGGAACTGAATTAACACCTTTTCTTACAAGTTCAGCAATTTCATTAATGATACTCTTGGATAATGGTTGACTAAGTCCTGCTTCCTATTAATAAAGAATAAATGGTAAGTCATAAAGAAAGAAAACAAAAACGCAATGTAACCATTGTAAACACATTGTAATCACAATGTAAACATTGTGATACTTACATTACCAACTGGATGATTTCTATGAACAGAAATGTCTGGTAATATTAAAATATATTTTCTACACATTACAATATCATTTTGAGCAGCCAGAGCTTTACAAAGTTTCTTTGATGCCTCACTTCTCAACCATGCTGAATCTTTTTCAATCTGAAATAAATTGTACAAGGAAAAGGTAATAAATAAATAAAAAATTATTATTAAAAGAAAAACAGGAATACCTCAAATTCAGGAAATTCAACTACTTCTTTTATTGAAATTGCAGCAGGACAGTCAAATTTTTTGGAATCTTGCAGAACAACTCTTTTTTTTAGGCAAGAATGATCTGTACCCTGTGTATTCAAAACAAATGAATTTAATTTAAATATATATATATATATATATATATATATATATATATATATATATATATATATATATATATATATATATATATATATATATATATATATATATATATATATATATATATGTAAAAATGTAAAATCATGTAAAATATATATATATATATATATATATATATATATATATATATATATATATATATATATATATATATATATATATATATATATATATATATATATATATATATATATATATATATATATATGTATATATATATATTTGTGTATAGCAAAATAGAAACTTTTCTTAATGAGAAAATTTAAGCTCTGAATGATAACTAGAATTAAGTAAAACAATAATTTAAATTAAAATCAGGTAGCACATACAGCTTCACTGTTTTTTCTGTTTCTGTATTAAGCTTTTGCTGTGCAGCCTTTGTCTGCTCCATGTTGACAGTCAAGAACACTGCACGATGATATAAGGAAAGGAACTCCTGTGTATGGACTATCTTTTGTCTCAAAAAAAATCTTGTGATTTTTCTTCATTACATCTTTGAAAAAACATTTAATAAAGATATTAACACATAATTCTCAAGTTTTTTAAATTTCTTTCTCTTAATTTTCGACTATTTATAATATTTTTTCATGACAGCATAAACTCTTTTACCCTATGAATAATGTAACTTGAAAAACACAAACCTTCAAAATTTTTTTCCATGCTTCTAGTGTAAACTACAACATAATGCACAGTATGCAACAATTCCTGTTCCTTAATTTTTGCACAAACATCTGCATATGTTGCACAACTATAATGCGTTTCTAAGGCTGCATTAAAATTGGAAACGTCATTAGATGTTATTGAGTCAGCATCTATTTAAAAAAAATCCTAATAAAAATTTAAGTAGAAATACCAAAATATGTCAATAACTTCGACAAATAGCAGACAATTATTTTGCAATAATAATTGTCTGCTATTTGTCATAATAATTTATTTATGATTAATTACTTTATGCTTTGATTTTTACATGTTCTCTTGCGTTATTATAGATTCACCACTACAGTTTATTATTTTGTTTATTATTGCACTCCTTTGAAAGTCTGAACATTCGTGTGTACATCTTCTTCTATTGATACTATTACCGCATTCTGGTAACAACTTCTTAATTTATTATGCTTCTCTAAGACATCAACTGCTTGGCGCAATTCAATAAAAATTCTTATTTACTTTTGCATTTACAACACTTAAAGAGCTTTCAGAAATATTAAGACTGAAACTTTATTAATGTTTATTCAAATTCAAAACATGAATACTTTTATAAAACTTTATTATTATACTTTTTAATTAAACACATATTTGTTTTCTAATGTTTATTTTATACTTTTATAATAGAAGATTTGGTAAGATATAGTTACAAATGATTTATTCTTACCTAACAATTGTTCACCTTTATCCATTTTCAATAGCTTTGTAAATAGGCTTAGCGCTTATAATTCAAAATGAGGTGAACCAAAAACGCATGCGCAATAAAGCACAAAAAAGATTCTCGGTCTGCGTTTTTTTGAAAATTCAAAACCTGATTTTGATTTATATGAAAGAGGGCCAACCGCAAAAAATATGGAAATTCTAGATTTTACTAAAGTCCATGTAAACGCATGCGCACTATAAATGTCCGCCGGGGATCAATATTGAACGATCGTGCTGTACACGTGAGTTTTAGATTTTTGATAATTTTTGATAAGATATTTGAAATTTACATTGTCAATTTAGTGGATAGAATTTTTTAAAAAGTTTGTATCATTTTTCTCTTTATAGTTATTAATTTTGATCACTTTTTCATGTTTCTTGCCCACTGTGCACTGTTTTAATATGATTTCGTGTACTGCAATAATAAAAATTTAGTTTAGAGGCTGACTATGTTCAGTTTTAAAAATAAAAACGTTTTACTTATTGAAATTGCATCATTTTACAATCATTTGATTACTTATTCATGTGACAAAACCATTATACTAACAAAAGTTGTGTTGAAACAATGTTTACTTGAAATATTTTTTTTTAGGTTAATAAATTGAGTATATAATGGGTAATTATAAGAATACTTCAACTTAACTTAAGATAACAAGGTAACATAACTCAATAAGTACCCAATAATAAAACTGTAATAAAACAAAGTAAAATAAACAATAATAAAACAAAAACTCACTCTATGAAAAAATCCGTTATATACAACAAACTTATATAATTCAATATTTCAATAGTTTCATGTTTCAATAATTCAATACTTTCAATTGCAATAAAAATTAAATTATTTAAATAAAATTATAAAAATTTCTTAATATATATTTTATTAATACAGTTATTAAATTCAAGGTCAAAAAACATTTATATAAAAAACACAGACATGTATACAATTGTTACTATACTAGATTTCAATTTTTACGCATACCAATAGTTGTAAAACTTTTACACACATCAAGAATAAAAGAAAGTCTCTCACTTTTTTATTTAATAATAATAATCATGTTAAAAGAATTAATATTAGAATTTAAATTTAAAAAAAAGTAACTACCCTTTTTATATAACAAGAATAAACACGTTACTGGTAATAATATTAGAATTTAAATTTGATACCTTATGCCTGAATGCCATATGTCTAAAGTAGCAAGTTCTATATAAATATAAACAAGCAATACATAAACTTAGTTGTAACTAACATAAAAAAATTGCAAGTAAAAAAAAAAATAGTTTTACAACTAATTTAAACTTACAGTTTGATACAGCATGACACGTGTCTAAAATAGGAAATTATAAAACTTAAATATACAAATTATAACTTTTATATATATATATATATATATATATATATATATATATATATATATATATATATATATATATATATATATATATATAATTATATATATAAACTTTGCTGTAACTAGCCTAAATAAATACCCATGAAAAAAAAGTGCAAGTAAACATTTTGCAACTGATTTATTAAACAACTAATGCAATTGATTTATTATACAACTGATGCAACTGATTTTATAACTTGCAGAGTGATATTGCATGCCACGTGTCTAAAATAGTCAATCATAAAAGTATATAAACAAGTTATATGTAAACTTTGCTGCAACTAGCTTAAATAAATATACCCATTAAAATAAATGCAAGTAAGCATTTAAATTTGAGACCTCATGCCTGAATGACACATTTCTAAAGTAGCAAATTCTATACAAATATAAACAAGCAATATATAATATATAAACAATATATAATATAATTATAAGCAATATATAATATATAAACTTAGTTGCAACTAACATAAAAAAATTGCAAGCAAAAAAAAAAAAAACAGTTTTACAACTAATTTAAACTTACAGAGTGATAATGCATGCCACGTGCCTTAATTTACAAATTGTAAAAGCATACAAACTAGTTCTCTGTAAACATAGTTGCAACTAACCTAAATAATGATACCCATAAAAAGAAATGTTAACCTTTTTAATTTTACAACTAATTTAAAAATATATTGTAAGTTAGGGGTCGTCCATAAAGTATGTCACGCTATTTTTTTCAATTTTCAACCCCCTCCCCCCCTCCTGTCACAAACTGTCACATATTTCTGCACCCCCCCCCCCTAAAAAAGTATGTCACATGTTTCTCCCCCCCCCCCCCTCCCTCTAAAAAAAAAAACAAACCATTACGGAATTTTCAACATTCTAAAAACATAGTAATAGCTATTTAACAGAATAAAAAAGACTCAATTTAACTAATTTGAAATACCTTCTTAATTTATTGGGAAAGATTGTCATCATAAAATAAAATAAAAATAGTTTTTTTATTTGAACCTTATGTTTTTCAAATTACAAATTAAACTTTTACTTTATCTACCCATTTATTATTATCCATCCACGGAGATTTGAAGTGTTCGTCTATAGTTAGGACAGGCATTTCTGATGTTTTTTCAAAATCTTCATCTGGAATGACAATTCCCGAAACATCAACTTCGTCTTCATCCAGCCACTCTATATCTTCATTTTTTTCTCGAGCAATAACTACCATCAGCTCTCTTTGTCTTCTAGCGGCTACTCTTATTGGTCTGATACGCTTTGTTTGAGTTTTCTCAAGAACAGTATTTCCTTTATCGCAATTTTTGTGCAATTCAACATGTTTTTTCAAGATAGCTTGAGAAGCAAAATAGAGATGGCAAACTTTGCATATTCGATTCAATAGACAAGTCTGTACTGATGGACAAAAGAGATCATAAGGATGAACTTGGAAACTTCCTGCCGATCTGGCCATTATATCATCTATTTTAATACTATGTGAAACAAAAAGTGATGGATACTTATGAGACTCACTGTCTCCTCTTTTGTCAGCTTGAAGACCATTACTTGTTTGAATAACTGGAATTAGAAGACATAAAAATCGCGAAGGAACAACATTGAAATATGAGCTTCTTATTTTAAAGCAACATTTTACATCTTGACATTTAACAATTTGAGTAAAGTATTGACTTGTGCGGACGTGTTCAGAAAACCATTTTATATCTTTAATTATCAATTCTTCTGCATCTAGCTCAGATGTCTCTGGATCAATAAACTCGGCAACTGTTGGAAACTGGTCAATAATAACTTGTGACCATATTTCAGCCAATGTTTATCCAGCATACTTGAAATTTCTTCTCTCCAAATAATCATCTATTGTTCTGCCCTGTGAATCGAGATGGCTACCATAGCGTTCATGAGGCAATATAACACCAGAAAGTTCTCTGCTCAGTGGAGCCATTCGACGTTCCACTCTATTGAAAGCACTTCTACCTGGCGCGTTGGTTGCAATAAATAAGGCGTCTAGATTATTTTTAACAAAATGGTGGATAGCAACATCTATGACTTTTTGATAACGTGGATTTTCATCTGGTCCTCCATCCACCGTGAAGACAACAATAGGCTTTATTATTTTATCTCTGCCGTCTTTTGTTATTGCATCAAATTCGTCTAATTGTAACAATCTCTCAAAGTCTAAACCATGAGCAAGAGCAGAAGAAGACGAATGTTTGCCTGATCGGATTGCAATATAAGTTGGACCTGAATACGTAACAGCGTCTGGTTTACCAAGTCCATCTTTCTTGATGCAAATTCCAGCATATACTGATGGAATAAGCTTATGTCTTGCTGCAACATCCCAATCGTGGTCTGGCAAATTGATGCGATATTCAACATGCATAAGCAATGGAGCTTGTTTGATTGCAGCTGTTAACCCAATAGGGACTCGCGCTTTGTCATCTTGGCTAATAAAACAGACTTCTTTTGGTCCCAGTATAGACGACAACTCTTCCAGGTGTCTCAAGGTTGCTGTACAGAATTTTCCATCGATGTGCTTTGAGTGTGACTCATTCTGAGATCGGATCAATTTGACTGGCACTGTTGATATGTGTCTTTTTCCTTCCAAAGTTGAACTTCGTCGTGGCATTAGCCGAGTGTAAACGGTGCTCCTACTCACCTGATAACCATCTTTATTTAGTTGCTTAGTCAATTCATCTAGTGTTTTAATACTGCGATACATATCACTTTTTCGTCTTTCATGTGCAGCTGATCCATGTAAAGCAATATCAACAATGGCTTTCAGGAAAAGTGGTTGATTAATTTCAACAGAAGGTCGACCTGTTTTATCTTTTGCTTTCAAAGCATCACAAACTCCAGGGTTCTCTGCGCAAATTTTAGCGAGAGTTTCTCTTTTTTTTGCTCTAGTTTTTTTCTGTCTTGCTTGTTCTTTCTTTTTTTTTAACAAACTTTTCTCCAACATATCTACTTTTCTTCTTTTCTCAATAAGCTCTGCTTCTTGATCATTCGTAATAATACCACTGTCTTTTCTTTTATGTAGTCCAACTAAATCACTCTTGATAACATCAATTTTAACTTTTAGTTCATCTTGAACTTTTGTTTTATATTTTCCTACATTTTCAGAACCAGACGTTGATGAAGTTATCATAGAACATTCACAAGAAGAAGCTTTACATTTATTACCCCCTACAACAGTATCTGGTAATTTTGCTAGAACATCCGGAGCCGATGATTTACGTGGTATAGTTTTCGCATCATCATGTCGTAATGATTGATTTGCCCAGAAACTCATCAGTGTACCTTTTTTCTTTTTAAACAGAGCATCATATTCTCTTAACAGGGAGTCTACTTTTGCAGAAAGATTATCTTCAGATTTCACCTTACTCCAAATATCATTAACTTCCTTTTGACAATCTTGTTTCCTCTTCTGTGAATATGCCTTAACATAGGCATCATAAAGTGATGCGTATAACTGTCCTTTGTCCATCTTTATATTATGAATTGCCTGAAACACATTTGCACTCATTTAGAGAAATTAAAAATATTGTATTTATGCCATAATATCAATTACTACTAACTTAGTTATACTGAGCGCTAACTAGCTTCTATCCTATTTACACTATTATTTGATAATAATCTTTGTTTGCTATTGGCTATTCAAAGCATGAGCAAGTCTATTTAACTTAGTTATTATATATTATATATTTAAGTAGTCATATATTCTTGCTTAAATGTAAATATAACTAAAACTCTTATGTTTATATAATGCCATAAGATTCAAAAAAATAAATAATATAAAAGATAATATTTTAAAAATGTTTTATTTACTTATTTAAACTCTCTATTTAAAATTCCAAACTTAAACTATACGTTCTTAATTTAATGATTTTGCATTGCTGCGCTTTAATGTCTTCAGAAACTTGAAGGCAGTTTTTTGCGAACTTTTTAAACTATTCAAAACTATTTAAAATACGGCGATACGCAAAACATAAGAAGTGTAAGTAAAATTTTAGGCAATCGGAAATACTCCTTTAATTGAATGAGTAAATAAGTAGAAAATAATCATGATAAATAATTTTTGTGATTTCACATTCGTCAAACTCCCCCTCCCCCCTTGTCACAAATTGTCACAAACTTATGCCTCCCCCCCGCCTAGTAGCGTGACGTACTTTATGGATGACCCCTTACTACATGTCATGTTTAAAATAGAAATTTATACGAGAATTTATACAAGTTATATAGTCTTAATTAAAGAAACAACTGTTGAAATAACCCTTTAGTTTATCATATATATTTTATTTTTAATTATTTATTTTTTTTTAATTTTATTTATTTGAGTTTCATGCTATATTTTTCTATACAATGTTCTTATATCCGAAGATATTGTTGGCTTAGCATAGGAACAGCCACAAATAGTCATTAAGACTAATCCAACGTAGCGTCCGTTATTGACCAACATTTTTGCGTACCGAAGTACTACTCAAACGCTGAGTTGGCGGTGGCGGGATTTGAATTCGTATCGTTCAACAGTCTGGGTTTTAATTTTTCCTTTGACGCTCTAACCATCTGAGCTATCCCGCCACCATGTGTATTCATAAAAAGAATGCTTAATGCAATTAACAAAGCAATAGTGAAGAAAAATACTAGATAGATTTATTATAAAGCATTGAATATATTTTTACTTTGTTTTATATGCTAAACTAAAGGATTAGTTGAACAATTATTTCTATAATTAATACTATATGAATTGTATATATTCTCGTATATATAAAATTTATATAGAAAATTTAAAATAAGTTTAACAACCTTCGAAATTACAAATAACAGATTGTAGTTTAAACTGTGTTTATCCATTTTCTTTCTCTACTAAAATTAGTAAATAAAGCAAATGGATAAACATAATTTAAAATACGCTTTTTTTAAAATAGCTTCACAATTAGTCGAAAAGTGAAGCTATTTAAAAAAATGGAAAATTAAACTTATTGCAACAAACCTGTTATCTACGACTTAAATGTGGTTTAAGAAAAACGCCTTTATCATTTATAAATAAAGAACTATAATATATGGACAAATCTAAATCAAACAAACAAGATTTAAAAATATAACCTACAGAGGAAGCACTTCATAATTTTTTATGGAAACCTTTTTTCAGTTCAGTTGTTTTTCAACAGATTTTAATATTTAATCCGTTGAATTAACGAAATTTCGAAGAGTCCGTTAATGGTTAATTTTACTCCGTTAATTTTGTGATTTTTGGTTACGAATTACCAATTAACGGAAAAATGCAATCCGTCGTTTTTTTTACCGGATTGTTTTTAGAGTGCTC